TTGCACTCAAATAAATGTCAGATGGATGAAAATAGAAGAGAATGTCAGTGGATATTTTAATCGTATGTGGACGATGATGGCCAGTTTTTCTGATATAAATTCCAAACGTTATAAAGGAGAAGATAAATATGACCATTTTTGAAATTTTGAGTATGGCCTAAAAAACATAAACAAGAGAATATATAAAAGACAAGGAATATACAACGAAAAGCCTCACAGATTCCTGAGGAAAAAAGATTTTAAAAATCAAAAAAATGTACAAAGCTGTAGACCAAAGTTTCACCAAAAAAAATTTAAAAGCTAATCATTACATAAAAGGATGCTCAACTTCATTAGTATTTTGTAAATGCAAACAAAAACAATGAGGTTTTTCTTTATACCAAAATTAACAAGAAAAAAAATTGACCAATTAGGTGTTCATCGAGGTTTGGGGAGACCAGCTTTCCTGTGCTCGGCTAGTGGAGTGTCCAGTCCAGTCCATTTGGAGAGCATTTTAGCCAAGGTGTCCATGTGGCAATATGCAAGCTCTGTGAAGTCGTAACCCTGTGTATGTGAATTTTCACTAACGAGAGAATAAAAGCAGCATAAAAGTTATGTGAGTGGAAGAAGGGTCATTACAGTCAACCCGTTTCTGAGAAACAAAACCAGGTTACAGAACTATGTGGCTCCATTTATGTAAAAATCAGAGAGAGAGAGAGAGAGAGAGAGAGAGAGAGAGAGAGAGAGAGAGATTTCTATAAGCTATTCACTAAATCGTTTATCTCTGGGAGGTGGGATCTACATCCTGTTTTCTCATTTTTCATTGATCACTTAATAATTCATGTACTGTTTAGTGATGGGAAAAGATAAAAAAGTTATAAGTTGTTTTCTTTTTTAAAAATGGGGTTTCCCTAAGTGTAAAGGAAAGAGGGTTGGGCTGAAGTCAGAAGCTCTGGTATTAGCTGTGACCATGAGCAAATGACGTCAGGCTCATCAACCTCAGGTTTTCTCATCTGTAAAATGTGGGTATTGGATCATATATTCACTGTTAAATCTAACATCAAAAAATTCACTGTTGGGACCGATTTGATTTCATTGACTTGGCTGTAGGAAGCCCATTACGCCTCATCTGTGAGAAAGCTTGCCTTGGCCGCTCTCTGCTGGTTCTCCTGAGAACAGCAGGGGCAGGCTCTCCGCAAGACACCAAATGCCTCCATTCAGACTTTCATACCATTCAGCCCAGTAGTTAGGTCCCTGGCACTGGCGCAAAGACCTTGCAGGTGACAACAAAACCTCATACGTTAAATTTTCCTAATCTCTATATTGAGCTTGATATTCTCTTTATTGTACAATCTGGGTTATGCCAGAAAAAGATTTTTTTTCTCCATGTGTGATTTGGCATCTAAATTTCCGGGTTCGTCTCACCCGTGCAAATGTGTGTTCAGATTGCAGATCTAGGTGAATCCAGGAGCTTCAAGGAAAAACTGACAAGAGCTCTGAGATCCTTTTAGCCAAAGGCTCTAAAGCGCAGCTTTTCCAGGAGAAGAGGATGATGGCTTCCAAAAGCGTGTGGCTGTTCCTACTGTTAAGCTGTACAGTCAGCACTGACGTCATGGGTGGTGAGTACCTGTCACTCAGCTGGAACTGAGCCCACAGCCAGTGTTCATACAGCTCACATGGCATAGCCAGATTCATTCACCCCCCACCCCCCAAAAAAATGTAGGCACTTCAGGAAATAGATGTTCAAGACAGGAATAAAAAACAATGTGATGTGGTTACAAAAAAAAAGTGCAAGGAATTCAGAATCAAACAAACCAGCCTTGTACGATTGTGAGCCAGAGTTAAATCATCAACTACTTATAGGTTATAATAATTATTTTGCAAGTTTATGATGAAAGGTAGAGATAAGGTATTTAATGCCCCTGACACCTAGAATGACCCAATGTGTGTGCATTGCTTTCCTATTTGAACCTATCAGGAATTCCGGTTTTTAAGGGACTTACAGCCTTACACACGTGTAGACCCAGCATCCAGTATAAAGTAACATGTCGAGAAAGTGGGCAGTAGTACCCTAGAATCTACCAGTAGAGAAAGCAAGGGAAGAAAATTACATGCGTGAGCTAAGAATAAGTTTCATCAAATAACATGAAATGGAAGGAAATGAAATGTGGGCTCATCTGGTGTGACTCCTTTGTTCTATTCATGAGGGAAACAAGGTCCCAAGAAGGGTAGGGCCTTGCCCAAGGTCACTCAGCAAGATGAGGTGATGCTCTGGTGCCCGGTCCTGGGTGCCATTCACAGCCCCCTGCGGCCTTGCTGGGCATTGTATGTGGTGGAGCGAGCAAAGAAGTCACGCCTGAGCGGCACTTCCGTTGAGAAGAGGGCCTCTTGAGGGTATCCAGTGCCCTGTGTCAGTCACCTGGCACTTCTCCCAGCAGGAAATACGTTGGCCAGGAGGAGGATCGACTGGGAGGAAATACAAAGAGAAACAGGGTTCTTTGGGCGTCATGTTGGTGGCCGTGGCTGAAATCTGCTCCAGCCACCAGTTGTCTCAACCACCTATGGCTGCTCAGGAACTGGGGAACTCAGCCCGGTTCTTTGAACCAGGCTAGTGTGTGAGCGACTCTGAGAGGCTGTCCCCGGCCCCTCCCATGGAGCCGCTTTTCATGGCTGTTTCTAACCAACTGATCAGGGAGTTTCCTGTTGTTCTGATACTGGCTTCTCTAAAGGGCCTTGAAATTTTTCCAAACTATATCCTGGGGAATGAGAAACAGGCCCCCAGGCTCTGGGATTAAACCAAAGCTCTGGGATTAAAACAAAGGGTTTGTCTCCTGGAGGAGGGAAAGCAAAAATACTCACCCCTGGTCCCTCCATCGGTTTTCCACAAATCCTCCTCCAGGCTGTAGAGAGAGACTTTCCACTTATTCTTACTGTCTCGGGGGAACCTCTCTGATGACACATCCTACATATTTTTTATTTTACTTTATTGGGGAACAGTGTGTTTTTCCAAGACCCATCAGCTCCAAGTCAAATAGTTGTTTCAATCTAGTTGTGGAGGGCCCAACTCAGTGGCCCATGTGGGGATCGAACCTGCAACCTTGGTGTTATGAGCCTGCGCTCTAACCACCTGAACTAACCGCCCACCCTATCCTATATAGTCTTTGCCCTGTGACTTATGGAAAAAGTCTAATCTTGCACTTAAGGGAAGTATGGGGAACTGAGAAAGGAATTTTCTCTCTCAACAAGATCTGGTGGTCAAGATTATTACCCTTATTATGACAAAGCAGCGATTTTTCTTTGTCCTGCCCCGTAGCTGCCCTTCCACTAAAGCAATAACACATGAGATGACAAAGAGCGACATGATTCGGGGACGATGAAAAGTTCCATCCAGTGACTCTTTTCAAAAATACAACTGGTTATAATGATCACATTATTGTTTAAATAGGTGTAATGTATTCAGTAGCCACTATTTATTGGACAATTACTACAGACTGGCTCTATGCTAAGCACTGTTCATACATCATCCCATTTAGTCCCGCCAGGAATCCAGTGGGGAAGGTACATACTGGCAGCCCGTTGTGCAAACAAGACAACCAACGCTGAATAATGAGTGTATGCATTTCTGTCTCTCGGGAGGGCTCTGGGCAGCAAGCAGGCTATTGGAATGAGTCTGTGTGGCCTGGTCACCAGTTGCCTAGCAGCAAGAGCCTGTGCCTCTCTGGATGACGGCTCCCTAGGCTTCTGGGCTCTGCCTCTCCTTCCCTTCTGACTGTGCTTGCCTGACAGATACCCTACACCCAAGGCAAACGCGCGCATGCTCTTTCTGCGGGTGTCCTCCACATTCCTGCCTGGGTCCCTCTGCTCACCCACCCCCTTTGCTTCAGGTGTCCCCCTCCCCTTGCTACTGACTCACCTAGTCTCCAGTTCCAGCCAGTTGCTGTTGAACCTGTCCAGTGTCTTCCTGGCCCAAAATGCCACTCCTTCCGTGTAATGCCTGAAACCACCAGTGTCTGCCCCTCATCCACTTTTGCGATGGCCCACATTAGAGCTGTTTGACCTCACGACCAATGCGGGGGTTCTGCCAGTTGCTGAGTATACATTTGGTAACTGGGAAAATAGCTATAGGATGGGCGGAGGGACACGCTGGGCCCACTGTGACATAGACCTGAGCTAAAACTCCATTGATCACCTGACCTCCGTAAGCCCCTGCTCTGACTGGTGGGCCCCAAGGACATTTTGGGTCTCCTGGAATTAGTGTCAGTTCAGAGCCAGGGCCCAGTAATCCTCAAAAGGTCTGAATATTTCCTTTTCCCCAATGGAGAATCACTCTGGTAAAAGGCCCTAGGTCCCTTTGGGAAGGCTGGGAGAAAGATTAACGGCATAACATTTTAGGCAGTGTGCCAGGACCTGTCCTCAAGGGCACCCAGCATTCCTTTCATCCAATGGGCTCTAGGTCCGTAAACTGGCTCAGGTCTGAGAACTGATTATATTTGCCATCGTAACTTGTCACCGCCTTTTTTTATGTGCAGACATCATCATGAGGCCCAGCTGTGCTACTGGATGGTTTTACTACAGGTCCCACTGCTATGGATACTTCCGGAAGCTGAGGAGCTGGTCTGATGCTGAGGTAAGAAATCTGGCCCATCATTGGACTGGCTTCTCTAAAGCAAGGGGCCACCCAGAGCTCCAGGTCTCACTTGACTCAAGTCAACGGTCCTTCCTTGGCATTCTGAGAAGTCACCTGGCTGGTGAAATGTGTGTGTTCAACTCATTCAATTTTGTGAGCACTGATGGGGCACGTGCTCTAGGCCCAGACCCTAGGTGGGCTGCAAAGATGTAAAAGTGAACAAGAAGCAGCCCTTACTCCCCAGGAGTTCGCTGTCAGTAAGAAAGACAGAAACACATAAATCAAGGGAGGAGGAAGTGATGATAGGGAACTTGCAGGAAGAATAACTGAATTGCAGTATGAGATTTACCAGAAAGAGAACCAGTGTGTACACAGGCCTGGCGCACCAGCCTCAGAGCCACCTGCCAGAAAGTGAAGACGTCCAAACAAATGGGAGGCTTTATTGTCCACACAACCCAACAGATGTATCGGTTCTATTTCACTGAGGCTTTGTCTGACAGATACCCAAATAGCCGGTCAAAATAAGTTCCCTCAGATGAGCACGGGGAGTCAGTGCTGCCGTCCCTGTGGGCTGTGGTTATTTAACTGAAGTGACGGGGGAGCCACAAGGGGCAGAGTGGTGAGATGGGGGCCCAAAATGGCCTCAGAATCCCTGAATATGAACAACTCAGCAATGATGGGGCATCGGACACATGATAGCTACTGAAGATAAAAAAAGTCCTGTCTGGCCTTAAAAAGTGCAGAATTAACGCAAGAGTGTGACATTTACACAGAAAATTCCAGTGTGAGTGTGAGGATAAGTGACTTCCCCAAGATTATACCGAGAGTAGCTAGCAGAGCAAACCCAGGGAAGTCGGCCCTAATGCAACACCTTCCTGAGCTGATGTAAATGACAGTTTCTATAAAAGGGCTAAACAAAGTAGGGGGTCCCCAGACTCTGTCCACTGGAAAAAAAAAAGTCATGGGGTGCAGTGGACTTTCTCCTCAGTTCTTGGGTAGCAGCTTGAAGAAATCTTGGAAGGACATTTGTAGGCCTGTCCCCAGAGACTCCAACATGAATTCTGCCAAAACGAAGAGGAAGGTGTCTGGGAACTTGGGAGGACTATAGACCCTGAGCTTACATTATGACTCTGCCAGAGGTATCTCACTGTCACAGTTTTCTTGCTATAAAATGGGGATTACACTTTTACCTCAAGGCGCTGTCAAAAGAATTTATTAAAATACTTTGCCAAGGGGCCAGGCGAGTGGCGTGTTGGTTAAGAGCTGGCTTGGGAAGCCAGCTCTGAGCAGCAGGGCCTCAGTTCGGATCCCACATGAAAGCCAGTGACGCTGCGCCCTCTACAGCTAAGATGGTGAACAACAGCTCGACCTGGAGCTGGGCTGCCATGAGTCACCGGCAATGGTGTAGGCTGCAGTGGAGCTGCAGTGGGCTGCCATGAGCTACCGTGAGTGGCTGGCAGCTTGCATGAGCGGTTGGCAGCTGGCATGAGCTGCGTGTGCGGCCGTCCAGTGGCCAGAGACCTAATGCCTCACCCGGGAAGAGTGCAATGATAGTGCCAACATGGGCCAGTGGAGCAACGTCCTCCACAACTAGACTGAAGAAAGAGGACAGCAACTTGTCTGTTCCCCTCCCCCAATTCCCCAATAAAATCTTTAAAATAAATAAATAAATAAAATAAAAATAACTTGCTAAAAGCCTATGGCATGTGGTAGATGCTCAATTCAGGTTGTCCAGGCAAAAAACAGTCCACAGGGTTGATACCGAGCCCGGGCAGAGTTCACCACTCCAGAACAGCAGGGCGGAGAGCATGCTGGGAAAGGGCCCTTACAAGCTGACATCACGGCTGCTGCTGCTCTGTGTCTTCTTGACCACATGTGGCCAGTGGCCAGTCTTAGTTCTCAAGACTCCTGGAAGCCCATGGAAGGAACACTGAGAATGACGGGTAGATCTGATCTTGAACTTGAGGTGGAGAGGCCTGAGTTCTGTTCTAGCTCCATCATGACTAGCTGTGTGAACTTGGACTTAGAGGGAAAGGTATCACTTCAACACTCGGAGCCTGTTTCTTTTCCTGTCCCAGGAATTTTCTGCAACTGGTACATTCACTAATTGTTGACTGGTAATCTGGTTTCCATGCCTCACAAATTTGAAAGTCAAATAAAATTCCGGAGATAAAAACATTTTGGAATTGTAACGTGTGTGGCTACTATTAACATTAAATGGTAGCCATATCCAATCCCAAGCAGGAGCCTAACTAAAGGCAAGAACTTTGAAATACAACCAGAGCCAAACCATGTTTTTTGAAATTAAGGTTTTATCATGTAGGCAGACCCCATAACATAAGCTCCAAAGAACATAAAGTATATATCGCTATTATCTATCTATAAAATATATATATATATATATATATATATATAAAATGTTTGCCTTGTTTAATCAGACAGCTAAGTTTTGGGTTAGAGAATGGCACATTTTACAATCTGTGGTTCCTTAGATTTCCTTGAAATGCAGTATTATAACACATAATTATCACAATTATAGCCACCTAACAACTCCCTGTGTAATTTCGTATCAACTCCCAACAATGATTTTCTCCTTTTGGAGATAAGACAGCTGAGCCTCGGAGAGGTGAAGTGACTTGTAAGGGTCACATACACTCAAGAGAGGAAAGACCAGGCCCTCAGGCCCTTCCACTGACCCCAGAGCTCGTGCTGTTGCCTGGAGCTGCCTCTTCCTCTCAGACCTGACACTTGTGGCTGTTGTGTTTTCTCCCATGGTGACAGGAAGTCCTCTGTGGGGTTTAGATCACAACTTCTGGAGGAGGTGGGAGCTATGTGACTTCATGCTGCTTGGCAGACTGGGGTTCTGAGGTAGGGCTATGCTTTTACACCTCAAGGCATCATTACCACGACTTCTCCTTGTCCACAGCTCGAGTGTCAGTCCTTCGGAAACGGAGCCCACCTGGCGTCCATCTTGAATTTAAAGGAAGCCAACGTCATAGCAGAGTACATCAGTGGCTACCAAAAAAACCTGCCCGTGTGGATTGGCCTGCACGACCCACAGAAGGTAAGCTCAGACTTGTCCCACAAATGCCCCCTTGGGAAAGCCAGAGAGATAGCCCCTCTCTGGGAAATGACTTCCCGGCCTCCTGACAAGAGGCTCACATCGCCGATCTTCAGGTCACGCCTCATACTACTAGGGGCCAAGGCCTCAAGGTCAGGGTCCCAGTTCTGGCCCTCAGTGGAAGATATGATTTCAATGGCATCATTTTATAGACCTTCTATCTATTGAAAGACCCCCCCCCAACCTTCGGACACAAGCTTACCAGCTTTTCAGAGCCTTCAAAAAAAAAAAAAGTTTGTGTAAGTACATATGGGTATATAGATATAAAAATGTTCACAGAGAAAGAGAAAAAGAGAGAGAGAGAGAGAGAGAGAGAGGTTTTTGTGGGACCCAGCTTAATTAAATCCCTATTGGGTCTGGACTTGAAGTTGGAAAATTTCAACTAAGCTTTTTCCTGGATGCTATCATGTTTTTGACGTTATCCTTAGCTTTTTTCACTGGACCCTCATTCTGCTCTCATCAAAGCCTCCCTGTGAGGAATGGTGTGTGGGGTCTTTGGGCTGGTCGCTGAGGTCTCTGTGGGACCTGCAGTTTAGACATTCTTTGCGGGGCTTCTATAGTTACCCCAAGCAAACAAGGACCACAAGGAGAGAACACCCTGATTTCCATGTCTTGATAAAACCTGGCTATAGATGTTGCAATTCATTTTACATTTTTTTATATTCACATTGCTATCAGTCAGAACTCCCTCATTCAAAGATAAAACAAATATTCACATCTATTTCTAGTTTTGTAAATTATAATCACATCTATTTCTAATTTTATAATTTGTTTTCTTTACACTTATGACTGAGGAAAGTAAGTGGCAAATATATGTTCTAGAAAGTGTGCAGTGTCTCTAGTTATCAAAGAAATGCAAGTGAAAATAAATATCTAACTTGACTTGTCATATTACCAAACTTTTGCTTTGTCTTAGTAAATAGTATTTTGGGGGGATATGGAGCAATTGCGCAGTAGGTGGGAATGTAAATTCCTCCAACTGAATTGTTTTGGAGACCAGTGTAGCAACGCATATCACTACCCTCAAAATATTTATGCACTTTGACCACCTGGAGCCTAAGAAAATACTGTATTTCCCCATGTATAAGGCGCACCCTTTTTCGAAAAATTTGGGGTCTAAAAACTAGATGCGTCTTATACAGTGGTTGTATGAGCGCAAAAAACAAACGCGATAAAAGCAGGAAATGCAAGTTAAAAAAATCTACAGCCACTGTATAAGACGCACCCAGTTTTTAGACTCCAAATTTTTCGGAAAAGGGTGCATCGTATACATGGGGAAATACGGTAATTTTAAGTATAGAGCAGCTTTCTGAACGAAGGTGTTCATAGCAGTGTCCTTTGTCATCATTGTAACCTGGAAACAACATAAATGTTCATCAACAGAAGAATAATTAAGGAAATTATGGTACATCCTTTACCATTAAAAAATGCTTAGAAAGCAAGAGACAAAGTTGCATACATATTTTCAAGATCACCACCTTTATAGCACATACAGCTACTGTAGTCGACAAAAATGTTTATGCCAGAAGTAAATATGCTAAAATAGCAGTAATGTTTTCCTCTTAGTAGTTAAATGGAGTGACTTCTGTTTTCCCTTCTTTACACATTTTTGTGCTTTCCCAATTTTTATAATGAAAACTACATTTTAAAGGGGCCCTAGGGGACCGCCGGCTCTGGGAGCCGCTGGGGAGCCGGTGGGGGGGCTGATTCATCCGTGTCTCCCACCCCCTGTCATCCACAGAGGCAGCAGTGGCGGTGGATCGATGGGGCCGTGTATTTATACAGAACCTGGTCTGCCAAGTCCGTGGGTGGGAACAAGCACTGTGCTGAGATGAGCTCCGACAACAGTAAGTTCGAAACTCGGCGCCCCTCAGCCCTTCCCCAAGTGGCAGCAACTCCTCTTACTGATTTAGAGCAAAAGTGGACATCCGCTCCCCCTCCCTCCATTTTACACCGTACTCTTGCTTTCTACAGGACACTGGCCTTGTCACAAACATTGTGCCCCAACCTTCCGTCACGGGTGACCATTTACAATCTGCATTATCAATGTACCAGCTGTTCGGTTTTTCACGTATTGTGTTCTTTAAATCCAGTCACTTTTTTTCTCAAATATATTTATTTTTAAATCCCAGTCTGTGCCATGAGAGGGAACTATGTCACATTTTGGGAAGCCCAGACCACAGGGAGCACACACACACAACTACTCTTCACTACCCCCTGAGCCCTGGGAACCCCACTTGTGCCTGATTCCTCCCTCCCTTTTGTCTCCCTGAGTTTCATCCCCAGGACCCAGCGCCCAGGACCTCAGCTGCACACTTGAGCGTCCTCATTTCTCTTGCTTGCTTTCATTCTTTGCTTTTTGTGTTAATAAGTTCGAGTTTTCAACCTTGGTGCTAATGACACTGGGGGCCAGTACTTCCTAGTTGTGGGGGCTTTCTTGTACATAGTCTCTAATCAGCAGAGACCAGGAGCACCCCCCTACGCAGAGGATGGTACAACCAAAAATGTCTCCGGACATTGCTAAATGTCCTCTGGGGCAGGGGCGCAAAATCACTCCCATTTGAGAACAACAGCTAATAAATGATATGTAAGATTTCAATTGTAAAACAAGAAAACAGAATATTAAAGAAGAAGAGGATACTCGGTGCCAAAGAGAACATTACAGTGGGTTTAAAAGGTCAGCATAGTGTCACCAGGACTCCCCTCCTAGGCAAGCAGTTGAGCCTGGACTGAGAACCCAGGTTCTGGGGCTCAGGTGGCAAGGGACACAAAGCAGGGCTTACTGTTGTCTGAGGAATAAAGCTTATATGCACAAAAAAGAGTGAGAACACTTGCTAACAGCAAAGGATGAATGGTGGGCTGAGGAGACAAACTCTGAGGCCAGGTCCAGGAAGATCCTCAGAGATAAGAGCATCTTCTCACAGACACAGGAAGGGCTTTTCACAGACTCGCAGAAAGACAGACTCGCCTTTCACAGTGCTTCCTGGCTTACCCGCTGGTTCACTTTGAGACATTTAATCATGATCGCTAGGATTCTACAATTTTGAAATGAATTTCATATTCAATGCACTTTGGGTCAAGACCATGGGCTCCGAATGCCTGAGGTGCGGTTCCAGCTCCTTCCCTTAGCTGTGTGGTGACTTTGAGCAGATTTCTTACTTCTCTGGGCCTCAGATGCCTCTATAAAAGGGGAGAAACAACAGCCCTGATCATCTCAGTACACGTGAGGTGCTTATCAGGTGTAGGCTCAGCTCGTGGCCTTGAGGTTGGAGGCCGGAGAGTGAAACAGACATCTCCCCAGGTTCGTGCCCACGGGCGGGCAGGCTGTGTGTTCTCCTCGGTTGTTTGAAGCCTCGTGCCATGTTCTCTTTACCCCACACCATGCAGTGCCCAGAAAGCTTGTCGTCTCCATTTTAGTTACACTTCTGGGCCCTAGCTCTGAGCCCCATGGATACGAGCATGGGCAGGACCCCATCCCCTATACCTCTTGGGAACTAGGAACAGGAGGGGGCATGCCTCGCCCCCCTTTACATGGTTGTGCCACCATGTCCTTTCTCACCAGGGCCCTTGTCCACCCACCCAACACACACACACACTAGCATCAGAGCCAGGCCTGCAGGGCAGAGCCCAGGCAGACCTCTAACGACTTGTCACTCCGCCACAGAAACCCCAGGATGACAAAGGAGTCTGTAGAGCTTGGTTTCTGGAAGGGAACTAGTTGGACCTCAGTCCTTCAAAAGTCCTCCTTGCTCTCAGAACTTCTTTGTAAATAAATGGCCTCTTGGGACATGGCTGGCTTCAGCAGTCTCCAGGTATTTGAACTTCAAACAGGGGCTTCTTACAGCCTCAGCTGTGAACTTGAGAGAGGTCACCCTCTGTCCCCAACAGTGTCCTGTTTGACACACAAACGAGCACCCAGGGCTCAGGGGACTTGTGTGGAGCACTGCCTTCCCTCAGAAGCAGCGCTGGCAGGGAGCCTCTGTATTTGTGTGTGACGTTTAAACCATGTTTCTTCCTGTTAGCAAAGTTAGTCCTTGCGTTAGTCAGGGTTCTCCAGAGAAAGAGAAGTGATCGAATGTATACAGAGAGAGACTGATTTATTTTAAGGAACGGGCTCGTATTTGTCAGGGCGGGCACATCTGACATCCACAGGGACATGGATTTGCCTGCCAGCTTTGAGGCTGTAGTCTTGAGTCCGAGCGCAGTTTGGGGACAGAATTCCCTTCTCTTCATGGGACCTCAGTCTCTGCTCGTAAGGCCTTCACTGATTGGATGATTACCCACAATATGGAGGATAGTCTGCTTTACTCAAAGTCTACTGACTTAAATGCTAATCACATCTTTAAAAATATCTTCTCATCAGCATCCAGGCTGGTGTGTGACCAAACCCCTGGATGTCACATCCTAGCCAAGCCCACACATAAAATTAACCATCACAGCACCCTATCCATGGTTCCAAGCAAAACACCCAGAAAACGCTGACAAGCTCAATATAGAAGGACTGGGTGGACTTAAATGTCTGTTTATTTTGTTACAGATTTTTTAACTTGGAACAGCAACGAATGTAACAAGCACCAACACTTCCTGTGCAAGTACCGGCCATAGGGCCAGAACAAACATTCTGCCATCCCCGGCCACCAGCCTCTTTCCTCTTCCTGTTCTGCTGTGCCGGCGCCATCTGATCACTGTCTCAGAAAGTAAACAGGGAGGTGACTGGTGAGCTCAGTGGTGCTGATAACACCAAGGTTGCCGGTTTGATCCCTGCATGGGCCCCTGTGAGCTGCGCCTGCTTTAAAAGAGTCAACTATGTCATTGTAGCATGAAAGCACTGTGTAACCAATGACCATGGCTGTTCCCCAATAAAATTAAAAAAGAAAAAAAAAAGAGGAAAATAAACAGAGTTACTCAGGCTGATGAGGTTCTTACTCCACTGATGCTTCTAGGCTGGGAGGTGGACACCTCCACACCAGTGTGACAGTGGCTGCTAGCTCTAAATGTCCACCCACAATGCCTTTCCACGGGACCCTTGTCTCTGCCTCCCCATCTCCAGCTGTCTCAAGCTGACTAGGAGTGTGCTTCCCCCACGGATGAAAGAGTGGAGTCTCTGTCCATCAGAGATAAAGGTTTGCAGACGGGTGGAAGAAACTCAGGAATGAGCCTGTAGCCCCCTTCCACTTCTGCAGCCCTCTGCCCTCGCTCTATTGCCCGCATCCTGCTCCTCAGCCACCTGCTTACTTTTCCTTTTGTCGTGGAGAACGTTTACAGTAGAGTCCCCACTAGGCTGATGGGGGCCACAGATTCTGGGGCCATCTTTTAACAGGCAGTTTTCTGCATAGAGGGTTGCTCTGTTTCAGGTCAGTAGCGAAGGGAGGGAAATGGTGAAATAAGACTCAGAAAAGACAGCCAAGCGTTTCTTCATCCCCTTCCTCCCAGCCTGTGCCTCCCAGCATCTCAGAATAGCCCCACCCCAGCTGCAGCCCTGGGGTGGAGAGAGGAGAGATGGTGTGATATGCCTGCCCAGCCTCCGAGCAGGGGCGACTGGGTGGGGGTTATTTAGTGGTGCAGCCTGTAGCTTATGAGGGGAGATGACCTGGTCACCTCTGCCACCAACCACCCCTGGGGCCTTGCTCCCGTCTCTCTGCCTGGGAGGTCTGAGATCCCTGATGAGGTGGTTGCTCTAACACTGAGGCCATTTCGCCCTCATGCAGGTTTATGAATCCCTAGGTCAGGAATCTCGTTGGCTGTGGAAGAAAAAACAATATGGACTTGACAATTACAGGAAGCGTGGCTTTGGTACGATCATATTTGCATTTCTTAAAGGGAAACACCACCAGAGAGGAGAGGGCATGTGGCTGTGCCTTGTGTGGATGGCTTCCCCCATGTTACACTGCCAACCAGTTAACACAGAGTTTACCGCCTAAAACCTGAGAACATTCCCCATCACCTCAGCAGGCTGAGACCAGCCGTCGAGTGCTGGCTGAAAGAAGGGAACCACGAAGAGAGGGAAAATAAAACAGACAGAGCACTGGCCCTATTCACATCGCTCCCTTCCCTTCACCTTTTTTCTTCTTCCTTCCTCCCATCACATCCTTGTCATTCTTTGGTTGTCAAAGAGGAAAACATCAGAAATTATGTTTTCCTCTCCCCAAGCATTAAAAAACTAGGTAACCCTTCTTAGTAAGAGTTCAGACAAGATGACAGACAGATGGAAAGGGGTCACCCTTTAAAAGCACATAGTTACTTCAGCAAAAGCAACCACAGGTTTCTAAGAGGGTTCTTCCTGGGCAAGTCGGAGAAACACAAAAGTACAGATTCCATGATGGAGATGGTAGATAAAGGGGGATTAGTAGACTGATGTGAACCAGGAACAACGCCGTTGGATTAAGTGCCAGGTTCTGTGATATTATCTGTTAGATCTAAAAGAACGCAAAGAAAACATGGATGACAATACCCCCCCAAAAGTAGAAATTCTCCATTTTTTTCTGACGGTGGCACTTAAGAGAGAGAAAAGACACCTAAACCCACTAAATTCATTTACACTCTCCAGGAAAAGAAAAGAAAAAAAAAACCTCATGATAACAAAGAAGTAGAGATAAGAAAATAAGAACACAATAAGTCACAAGGAGCAGATACACTAACACAAACCAAAGTGAAATCTAACAGTCATTCTATAAATATGTTAAAACTATTTCAAATCTATTCAGTTCCAACTGAAAAGCAGCACCAACTTTAAACAGCCCTGGTGATGTAACCATAACCAAGCACCCTCCCTGAAATTGCTAAAATGTCAACGATATGCAAGTATGCGTGCGCAGTGGGGGCTCCGTGACAGTCCCAAACAGGGACAAGCAGCTACTTGTCTTCTTAGAAGGCTGGTCCTTGGTTAATGCTACAGCTGCTGAGCTGCATGTATGCGTATAGAGCTTCAGTCATCCTTAATAATCCATTGAGGAGGCATAGTGTTCAACAAAATTCTATCGAATGCCTTGCAAGTGCTAAGAACTCATTTCTGGGACTAGGAATCCATCAGTGAACAAAACAGATAAAATCCCTGGCCATTATAAAACATTCACAGCAGCGGGCGTGAGGAGTGGAGGCAGAGAAACAATGAACTAAATAAGTAAATGACATAGCGTGAGAAGGTGACCGGTGTTATGATGAAAATATAAAGGCAGGAAGGGGTGCAGGGAGCAGGCATCTGGGGGTGCGTGTGGAAGAAAATGCACTTCTGCTCAAAACTGATAGGCTGTCTCAAGCAAAAAAGAAACTTTTATTGGTTTATGTGACTCCACAGTCCCTAAGTAGACTTGGGCTTCAGGCATCACTTGACCAAGGACTCAATAGAGCCACCCCTGTAGGGCTTTCTTCTGCATTTTTTTTACCTTTGTGTGTGTGTGAGGAGTAAACTTTATTATCAAGCCCCATCTAGTTGCAAGATTGGCTGCAGCAGCTCCAGTCCTCACCTTATCAGGAAAGAGACCCTCAAACAAAAGCCTCCAAATTAAGTCTCATTGGCCAAGAGTCTCCCGACTCGAGTTATGTGCTCACCCTTCAGCCCATCACCATGGGCAGGAGGATGGGGTGTGATGGTTAACTTAGCTGAGTCATATCACATGCAAACCCCCTAGAGCCCAGGGGTTTAGTCAGCCTGATGGGGAGGATTGGGCCACTGCTGCAAGAATTAAAAAAGGACACCCCTCTGAAGAGACACACCCCATGGGCCCACAGGGCCAGCACAGGCTCGATTTCAGCCCCCTTAGCCGTGTACTTTTGTGCAGTGCACACACTGCGCAACCCTCCTCTGTGGTCCTGCTAACACGCATGGCTGAGAGTGGGTAAGGTGGTTCTCTAGCTGGGGGCTAAAGGCCATCTTTTGGGAGACTGTCCTGAGGCCCCACTGCAGGACTTTAACATCACGTGTCTGAACTGAAACTGGAGCAGCATCTGATGCATGAAAGAGAAAAATCTGGTAGATGTTTCGGAAGATGCAGTCACTTATACAAGGCTCTGGCCACAGCCTACGGCAGTTTGTTACAGTGGAAGGAACAAACAAAGGGTCTGGAACTCAGCCGCTGTGGAGATGAGTGACTGAGCCTCCATTGGGCTGTGTGATACGGAGCCTGAAGTCTCTGAGCCTTTGGTTCCTTTCTCAGGAATCTAAGCGTTACATTAATTAAAGAGTTTGGGATGGGGCGTGGCATAAGTGCTAAACACAGGTAGCTGTCCTTTGAAAAGTCCCACGAACTGTCATGATGAGCTGCTTGACTACTGGGACACAAACTAACGTCCTCTGTGGGAGCATGGGAGGACAGCAACCCAGGAGAAAACCTTTATTCCAGAAAACTCTGCATATGTGTCGCCTGGTGTGTGCATAAGCGCATAGGAGGCAATACAGATAGACACAGGACAGTGAAGGAGATACATAGAAAGCACCGATGCGGAAAGTCAGGGCACGTTTCCGTCGGACTGACTATAAGTGGAGTTTCTGTGGTCGTTGCATAAGTGAGGGCAAGGAGGGTGACCTGAGGGCAGAGAGATGAAGCCGGACATCATTTTTTTTAGGTTACACAGAGATGAAAGTCATTGTGATCTTGGGTTAGACATTCTAAGACACAAAGCAGAAGCCATAGGAGGAAAAGATTAATAAATTGTACTTCGAAATGTAAAACTTTCGCTCTTAAAATATACTGTTAGAAAGCTGAAAGACATGCCACAGAATGGGAGAAAACATTTTTACATGCATCTGAGAAAGGACTTGCAATTCAGTAAGAAGACAGCTCAGTTTTTTGAAATGGGCAAAAGATGTGAACAGTCACTACACCAAAGAAGACATACAAATGGCTGGTAAGCACATGAATAGATAGATACACAATATCATTAAACATTGGAGCACCGCAAATTAAAACCAAATGTGGTCATCCCCGGAATGTAAGTGTGAGTCAACACAAGAAAACCAATCAGTGTAATACATCACATTAACAGAATGAAGGAAAAACCACATAGTTATCTCAATTGGTGAAAAAAAATAAAGCAAAATCATTTGGCAAAATCCATTGCCATTTTATGATAATTAAAAAAATATCTCAAAAACTAGGAATAGAAGGGAACTTACTCAACATGATAAAAGGCATTTTTTAAAAACTTCCAGGTAACATCATACCAAAAGATGAAAGACTAAATACTTTCTCCCAAAATCAGGCACAAGACAAGCACATCTGCTTTCACCACTGCTATTCAACCTTGTGCTGGAACTTCTAGCTGGAGCAGTAAGATAAGAAAAAGAAATAAAAAGCACCCAAATTGAAAAGGAAGAAGTAAATCTCTCTTTACAGATGACATGGTCCTATATAGAGAAAATACTGAATAAGAAAGCTGTGAGAGCTAATAAATGATTTCAAAAACGTTTCAGGGTACAAGACCAACATGCAAAACTCAACTGTGTTTCTATACACCAGCAATGAACAACCCAAAAAGAAAATCAAGAAAGCAATTCTTCTTATAATAACATTTCAAAAAATAAAACACTTGGGAATAAATTTCACTAAGAAGGTGAAATGTGTACACTGGAAACTACAAAGCATTGATGAAAGAAATGAAAGAAGACCTAAATCCCTTCATAAATTATAGAAATGTCTAACCACTGTGCTGTACGCTGAAACTAATATAGTATTGAATGTCAACTGTAATTGAAAAACATATAATTAAATTTGAAAAAAGTCATCTGTGTTCCTGGATAGGACAGTTTAATGTGGTTAACATGTCAACACTACCCA